GGAGGCAAATTTCCATCCAGAAGCTGACCCGAACCTGTCTGTGTGGTTGAACCAGTCTCTAACTTCTGAAATAAAGAAACAATCAAGTATAAAGATCATATTCTAAAAGAAGATGCCGTGAAAGGATCAAAAGATACAACTGAAGGGGTCAGCTAAAAATCCAGACAGAGAGAAAGCAGGCAGCAAGTTGTGCCAAAAGAATTTTACTAAACTTAAGAAGTTAAGTCCCATGTAACTCAATAAATTAGGACATGCAACCTCAGGAAACTGTTAAGGAAAGGGCTGCAGTAAATGAGCTAGATGAGGTTTCCCAGCACCAACTTTAAGATGAGAAAGATTAAGAGAGAATATTCAAAAAGGCCTTAACGAGACTTGCATTATTAGTATTACGGACATCAGCATCTTCTTTCAGAATACCCCTTGCTCTTAACTTCTGCTTCAGGTACTCCGGCAAGTCTTTGGGAGCTGTCGTCTTTTCTAACTCCCTATAAGCACCTCCACCAGGTACACCATAACCATTTCCAATGTCTACATTACCTGAAAACAAAACAAGTTTGGTAAAATAACAACTTGTAGATAAGGAGTCTGTCTCAAAAAGAAGAAAGACAGGTCCAACCTTCAACCAAAGTGGCAGGCTTCCCGCGCTTTAAAGCCATTTCTTCGCGATGTTCAGTAGTCATTTTCAGTAAATGCTCCTAAACAAATACCCAGAATTAAAAAATGCAGAGATATGAAACCATAGGTCTTGAGCTCTGCAGAGCATATAGGAACACAAACAAGCATTTGCGCACGGAAATGAAAAATAAAGCTTCCAGCACACCATGGACAAAAAATATTAAATACAATAAGTCAAACGAAAATGAAGAGAGAAGATCAGAAACACACAAAGGATGCACCTTAAGAGCATTAGGGTCAGGACGCTCTGAAAAAACATCCGTACCATCCTTCATAGGTACACCTACACCTCCAGCCTCTCTGATATCACGAAAAATTATAGCAATTAAGTGCAAACCATCGTTTTAGCAATTCATGAATTAAACAAAAAAAAAAAAACAACATAAAAAACTTGCGAATAGAAAGACAATTATACACACCTTCGACCTTGTATGATTTTCTGGGTGGCAACTTCCTACAAGTCACGAAGGCAGTATATCCAATACCAACAACCAAATCAATTGAAAAGAAGAACAGGCAAAAAAATCAAAGCTCGAACAGAAATAAAGTAAAAAAAAATATATATATATATAGAAAATTACTTGTTCGCGAAGCACGATATCCCTAGCAGCAGCATCAATCTCGTTCGAGGTTTGGTGAGCAAAAGAGTTCCCGTTAACGTAGTTTGCAGGCTGCCGAAGCCCAGGCTCCATTTTTTGCGTCTGTAAATTGCGGCAGACCTCCAATTGGTCGAAAGAGCGCAGAGAATAATCAGTGTAAACTAAACCCTAATAGTTGAAACCAATAGTGATACTCTGTAAGAGAGAAGAGGCAATCTTGCAGATGGAAGGAATGAAAGAGGAGAAGAAGCTGATGGTTCGCTACAACGGCTCCGACAACCTGAAGAACCTGAGAGATGTCGAGTCAGAAAGCTGAAATGGGGAGTTTTGGGCCCAAAAGCAGTGGGTAAAATTAAATTAAAGCGTCCGAAAACAGAACAGAGAAGGCCCGTATCGATCTGAAACTTCCAAACAAAAGCAGAAGAAAGCCTTTTTCTCAAAATGTATATATTTAAATTTATTTTTAAAAAATATTACTTTTTTACTTTACAAGTAATTTTAACGTGTGCGATACAAAAGTAAATAGTAATTTACCTATTTTTCTAATGTATCGATTATTAAAATTGATTTTGTTCCTAATTGATATTAAATTAATTATGGATATGTGACAAGTTAATAATATAATAAAAAGTTTTTTTTTTGATAGTTAAGTCTATTAATTACAAAAGGGGGCCAGGCGGAGAACAGCGTCGGAGTTGATTGAGTAAATCCCCATCCCTGTCCGGAACCGTTGACTTCCCCCCTAACAAACCACACCCAAACAATCCAAGAAAATGACACGTTACGCCTTACGTGGCACTTATCTGGGATCGCTACCATCTCTACCCTCCTCGTAATCATATTAATCATTTACTTTAGGGAAATTCTATTAAAAAAATGTTAATGTTAATACATAATTAAATAATTTATTTTTTAATTTTAAATATTAATTCAGTTTGTTGGTTTTACCTTTGCCGCCTATTAATTATATTTGTACATATCTGTCAGCTCCCGTATTATTTTATTTTAATAAATTTATTAACCGATACATATATACAAGTATAACATAATTAAAAATATACATAAGTCGGACGGATTAAACCACAATTTTATGAAGAAATTTACCTTTTTTTTTTTTTTTTTTTTTAGCATGTAAAATTCGTTTAGATTAGAGATAGATAACTATAATATAAAAAAATATTATGTGGTATAATTAATTTATTAATTCAGGTAAGTGAGGAAGTGTAGATATCGTCCCAAACTCTAATTAATGCACATTAAATTAATAAGTAAATTTTAACCTAAAGTAAAAGAACAAAATAAATTATTTAAAATTTTATTATTCTAAAATTATATTGTATTGAAAAATTAAAAATAATAATAATAATAAGAGTTTAATATTTTGAGTTACGTGTTAATCCATAATAAAAGGGGAAAAAGCAGAACGAAACGGCCAAAGCTCTGGGTGTGAGTATGGACCATCAAAATCCGATCTCATCTCCTTTGTCGGGTAATTCAAATATATATTTTTTTAATTAATAAATAAAAAGGAGTCGTTTTCTAATTTAAAAAAAATAAAAATAAAAAAGAGTGTGAGAAATTCGAATATCGTCATCATTACGTTAAACGGACGTCACTCGATTTACCCAATGATCAGCTGGCTGACTGCTCTCTCCCCCTTTTATTTCTTACACCTTAAAACTCAATTTGAAGGAGTAAAGTTTTCCGCCCCGGAGAGAGTGATCTGAGTGTAGTAGCCAGCGAACTGACAAGTCAATGGGGGGGATTAGTTAGAGAGAAATAAGTGAGAAAGAATAATAATTTATTTGGAATATTATTCCGTCTATGCTAAATTTTGATATATACCGATGTCATGTGATGAATACCCGTACATTCGTTGAACGCAATTATTTTTCAGGACACAAAAAAAAAAAAACTGGTAGATATTTTCATTTAATTTCTTTATTATTTAGTTTTAAAAAAACTAATTTGATTTATTATTATTGGAGAAAACAAAAGTGTACGGGCGAAATTGACGGTGACTGGGGAAGCGTGATTACGCGTAACGCATAGAAAGGCTGAGCCACGCGGCTGCCTTTGCTCTCACAATCTCCAACACTCCCCCACTCTCAAATATTCCTGTTTCTTTTTTTCTTTTAAATAAATTTTTTTACAATATTAATTATCAAAACATATATTAAAAAAATATATATATATATATATATATATTATACGGAAGCTTGTGAATCTTTTTAACTTTCATCTTACCTGCACCTTTTTTTTCTATTTTTTTAATTAAATAATTTATCAAACACATGATCATACTTTTTTAATTTGATCTAAAAATTATTATTTAAAAAAATAAACACTTTAGATAAATATACAGATTTTCCCGTACGAGAAAGTCTGACGCGTGTCTCTCACAACGCGGTTTCTCCTGGTCCCTCCTCTCCAGTCACCGCCCTATTTATAATCTCTTCTTCTCCTTCCTCATCTCTCCCCCTTCTTTTCTCCCTTCACTCTCTACTCAC